ATTAAAATACTCATTTTGGGTTTGCTCTGGGCTATTTTAGTTTCTTCCCCCCCCCCCCCCCATGTAAATGACTCTGCTGTTGAGGAAAACTTTGTGCTGAGAAAATAAAATACATGAGTCCAGGGAATCAGATGCCCCAGATCAAATAGGGGTTGTCTCTCCAGGGACAGCCCGTGATTTAGTTTGTAGTTGATCAAGCTGGTTTTCGCCTCATGGGGTCTGCTACTACATATATTTGGAGTGGGGCAAGTCTTGATTGCTGGCTTTTAAGTGTGATTTTAAAATAGTTCTCAAAGTGGGCAGCAGGCAGTGTAATAACACAAAGTGTGGAGGTGGACGGTTCCAGCCCTGCACTTGGAGTTCACCTTGGTGCTGCCCTGTGCATCCAGTGCGGTTTCTGAAATAAATGACTTCTGGTATTGCTGGGCCCACCCTCACCCCAGCACCTGTCTTGCTTTGGCTTCTCCCAGTTCCCCACCCCTCTCAGCACATGGTCACGTGATTGGTGCTACTAAATTGTAGCCGACATTTACCCAAACAGTCTTGGGCAGGCTGAGACTGCTGACTACCATAGAATTAAGGGCTCCTGTTTCGATAAAAACTTGCATTTGACTGTGGGAATTCCCTCCTGAGCCCAAGCAATTTTACAGGTACGTTCTTGACTCTCACTCCTTATTTCTGAATTGCTCGTTGCCACCCAGATAATCCCCTCAAGCGTCTCTCCAGTGCCACAGCCACACTTGTTCTTTGCATGCTGTGTAATTGATCCAATATCCTCATGTGTATGCACAGCTGTGGCATGAAGCAGGGGGACCAGGAGCCCTTGCCACTCAGTGTTCACAGCCATTAATAATACATCAATAAAAATGACATCTATTATACATGAGAGCCTCACAATTAAGCCAGCACATACGGGCATCCTTTCTTTGCTCTTGGTAATAAAGTGCTTTTTCGCAGCTTGGAAAGAAGAAGGAAAATAAGTCGCTTGGACACAGATCAGCGATGGGAATTGGGAGGGCTGCTGGGGGTCTCCAGCTCCGTGGCCACTCACCCCAGTGGCCCAGATTAGCTCCCTGATCACCCCACCAGGCCAGTCCAGAATAAAGAGCAGCATTAGTTCAGGCAACCCTCAGGAAGCACTATTGTGAGATTCCCTGCAGCTGCGCCTCCTTTTCACGTAAAGAGGTGAAAACACTCCATTAGAATATCCATAGGACTGCTTTACTGAACCTTAGGGGGCCTTGTGTGAAACTGCCCTCCACCCACTAGACGCAGGGTCAACAAACAATGGCTTGTGGCTAAAACCTGGCCCTAGGCTTGAACATTTGCAGTCAGTTTTCTGATTAGGAACGCTAACTTTGAAATCCAGCAAGAGAGATGTTATCCCAGTAAGAAAGGAATTCCATTCTTCTCGTTAGTAGATGTGTATTACAACAACAAAACTGTACTCCATTATTAGTTTTGACTTCCGTCAAAAAAAACCGTTATGCAAACTTGTTTTCTCTCTTGTTGTAGAAGTACCTACGTAATAACTTTGAGCTTGCCTCTTGCCTCCCAAAGGCCCAAATATTTACTACCGGGCCCTTTTCTGAAAAAGTGTGTCTACCCTGGCCCTGGACTTTGATTTTTGAGTGAGAAAATAGTACCCTTAAAGGGAATTCACTTTTTTGCCTCTGACCAGCAGTGACGTTTCCCCCCAGCTCTGTGGGTTCCCTGCCACTGGGGAAATAAACGGGTCATCTCCAGGTGATTGAATCTTAAAACTGAGTTTCAGAGTTATGAACCTCTGTCGTGTGTGGTCTCTGAGACTCTGGCCTATAAGCCTGGAGCACACGCCAGCTGTTGTGAGTACGACAGAGAAGCTGGTACGAGGTGAAGCTCTTCTCCTGAATGTGGATAATCCAGTGTGGGGTTCCCCAGAGGTCATGGTCATCCTTGCCCCTCAGCTGGCTCTCCTAATTTAGGGGTCTTATTTCTTTAGATATCCAAGTGACACACGTTCAATTTTTTTTTTTTTAATTTTTAGGAAATTTTACGAAGACGTGATTTTCAAAGCTAATTATGAAAACATTTGTCGTGGGAATCAGTGGGTGAGTAATTTTGCTACAAATAGCCGGTGGACGTACTCAGGATGTCCACAGAGTGTTTTCCTGTAGACGTGGTGGGGAAGGAGGAGTCAGGATTCCTGAATCCTGAAGAAAGGAACAGGCCACTGGCTGTTTTATAAATGGCGGCAGGAGATGAGAGAGTCTCTTACAAACAGATAAACAGGACCCTCAGTAATCAAAATCTGCCTGTTTTACCATTTCTTTTCTGGAGTTAACATCAGATGCTTTTTTATCCTATGTCCTCATTGCCCTGGCATAATTATTAGCTGTGTGCCCCTCTCCCTCTCAAAAGTGTCCTAAATTATATGGTCGCCCAGTCTCTCTGGTACCAGAGGTGTGCATGCAAATAAGACAGCAAGGGACATTATTTGTCTTGCTACTGTTTTATGTTCATCTTTCTTCTGGGTACATTCACATTGTGCATGGTCCAATTAATGAAATACTTGAGACTATTAAAATTAGAAGTTTGTGATTTGGGGGAGATCACTGTGTTATTGTATTACATTACTGTGGTAAGTAATCAGAAGTCGAAGGGGATGGATCCAGTGGCAGAACTCTGCCTTGTCTGGCTCCCATCTAACCAGAACCAGAGTTCCGGTTTTTTTCTGCATGGCTTCTCTTGTCCATGCCTTCCCTGCTGCGCTCACTGCCATCATCCTAATTCAGACCCTCCTTCCCAAATTCCAGTCCCTCCCCCACTTAACCTTTTTTCCATTCCTCTCTGCCAGTTGAATCGTCTTGCAAAAAAGTTTTAATTATTCTCTCGCTTAGTGAACAATAGTCAGTGGTTATCAGTCACCCAGAATGTAATCCAAGTATCCTGGTGCATGAAGACCATTCCATACATAATAAAAGAAATGCATTAGCTTCAGGGACAGGTAGGCTGTAGGAGAGGTTTGATACAGGAGCTCTGTGGTATCCCCAAAGACTTGTTTCTTTCCATCTCTTTGTGTCTTCCTCCACTCGGATCCGTCCTAGACTTGGCTCCACGTTTTGGTCACAAGGACCAGCAGGTCCTGAGACTTTATTCTTCTTAGCCTGCCTCTCTCCCTCTAAGTCATGGTTTTCCCTTTGACGGCACTAGCTGTACCCTGTGCACACAGTCACTGTGGCCAAAGGGATGAACCTGCCTTGATGAGCTTAGGCCAGCGGGGCCCTGCCCTGGAGTTGAGAGCAGGGTCAGTCCACACCAGGCCTCGGAAGCAGGGGTGCACCTGGGGAGGCAGCTGCCCAGTCTACTCTAGCATCTAGTCCAACTTGCATTCTACGTGTTCCCTTCTTCTCAATATCTGCCTCGGGCTTTCTTGCCACGTGCACTGGGTGCTGCCCACACCTCCCTAAGAAAGCCTCCTCTTTACTCTCTCTTCCTCAGCAAGTGCCAAGATTTCATTTTAGTGCTGCTTCCGCGAAGCACCTGCCAGACTCGGCTGCAGTGACCTCTGCTCCTACCTTTCTTCCTTCCTCTAGACTCAGTGTTGGATCTTTCTTGTATACTTACCACTTACTACCCTATGAAATAATCATTACATTAAGACGTCCAGGAATAGTGGGGATTCCAAAGCGTTCAAGAGTCAGTCAAGATCCTGAAAATGTAATGCATGTGTGATGATATTCACTTTTCCGGGGAAGGGGTATATAATCTTTACCAGATTTTCATGTTAAAAAATGTGATGTTAAAAAATATAACTCCAACTGACTAATTTCACTTAGCATAATACCCTCCAGTTCCATCCATGTAGCTGCAAATGGCAAGATTTCATTCTTTTTGATTGCCGAGTAAGACTCCATTGTACATAGATACCACATCTTCCTTATCCATTCATCCATAGACAACTACGTGGGTAGAACTGAAGGGTATTATGCTAAGTGAAGTTAGTCAGAGAAAGACAAATATCGTATGACTTTACTCATATGAGGACTTCAAGAGACAAAACAGATGAACATAAGGGAAGGGAAACAAAAATAATATAAAAAACAGGAAGGGGGACAAAACAGAAGAGACTCATAAATGTGGAGAACAAACTGAGGGTTACTGGAGGGGTTGTGGGAGGGGGGATGGGCTAAATGGGTAGGGGCACTAAGGAATCTACTCCTGAAGTCATTGTTGCAGTATATACTAACTAATTTGGATGTAAATTTTAAAAAATAAAATTAAAAATACATATATATCTCCATGGGCCTTGGAGTTAGACTTTGTATGCTGTCACTTGCTAGCTGTTATCTTGGGCAAGCTTTATGAGTATACGGTTTTTCAGTCCTTAGGTTCCTCAACTTTAAAATGGAAATATTAATATATACCTGCTACAGAATGGATTTCCTCTTGTTTAAGTACCTACAGATAGCCTTTTTAACTCCTCCTTAGCGCTCTGTCCCAAATAAGTATTCCAAATATACTTAACCCTCTTGTCTCTTGGCTATGTAACAAAAAAACAAATGGACCAGGACTTGTGCGTTTATTTGGGTGTTGTGAACAAAGGCGGAAGTGGCTCCGAGTAGGTAGTCGTTTTCCTTCCCCGTAGCCTAGGATAAAGCATGCACCTGTCGGGACACTCTTGCCCTGAGGTTGGAATGCACGTGAGGTGGTTGTGATCTTGGCGCCTGGTGGTTCTGAGCATGCTGAAAGGGAAGAGTTAGTCTTAAGCTGTCACCCGAGCAGGATTCCAAGTGTAGATCTTAGACTGGAGCTTGTTCAATTCCGACTTGTTAAATTCTTGTGAAATTCCCTTTCCCGTCTGTCTCACCTGGACTGCCTTCTGCCTGGTCTGTCTCCTCCAAGTCTACAAAACCGGAGTACCTGTTCTTCATTGTCTCCAGCTAACTCAATGAGAAGGGATCTAATTACTGTTGGTTTGACTGTATCATCTGAAAGGGATAAGTCTAGAACACGACACATTTTCTAACCAGGTTGCCTATACTGTAATAAAGTTATCCCTGTTTACTCTCTATTTTAAACCAAAGTTCAGAATCTGGACTATATAAACTCAACATGGGTTGTGGCCTTTTTTGTTAAAAGGGAAAAAAAATTGTACCAGTATTTTCTCAAGGCGAAAAGTAACACCCCGCCCCACTTTCCCGTCTTTTCAAGAAGATCACCCATATCCTACCCAATTATGTATTCTAAGGTTAATTGGAAAAACTTGACTCCTATTTCTTGTACTTTGTAGGTATGTTGTATAGGTGATATTGAATAAATCCAATAAACAATTTTGGTGAATTAATGTTAGTTTCTTTTCTAGATTTTAAATATATTGTACTCTTTCAACTGGGATTAAGCACAGGTTCTCGCAAATAAATGTGCAGTTAAGAGTTTTTCGTGCCATCAGGGCACCTGGGTGGCTCAGTTGGTGAAGCGTCCTACTTTGGCTCAGGTCATGATCTCACGGCTCATGAGTTCAGTCCCGCTGATAGCACAGAGCCTGCTTTGGATCCTCTGTCCCCCTGTCTCTCTCTGCCCCTTCCTCACTTGAGCGTGCGCACACACACACACTCTCTTTCTCAAGAACAAATGAACATTTAAACAACAGAAGAGAGTCTTGTAGTGTGGACATTTGGTCGTATGATGAAGCCTTGACTTAATATAATATTTTGTTGTTTGTTTTCCGAGAAACCAAGTGGTTTTATTGTAGCATGGGAACAGGACCTGTGAGCAGAAAGAGCTGCCTCAAGTAACTTTACGTTTTGTTTGTTGTTGTTTTTTGTTGTTTTGTTTTTAGAAGAGACAGAATACCAGGAGGGGAGGGGGGAGAGGAAGAGAGTCTTAAGCAGGCTTTACACTCAGCGCGGAGCCCGTGCAGGACTCAATCTTATGACTCTAGGATCATGACCTGAGCCCTTATCCAGAGTCAGACAACCAACTGAGCCACCCAGGCGCCCCTAGAGGAATGGTTTTAAATGCACAAAGTAAAACATAGGAATACAGAGGAAAAACCAGTTATATTGAAATACAGTTCTAAAAATATTTTCAAAACAAATTGTAGCATTGTGATATATACATTTCTTTACTAACTTATTAGATGATAGTATCCAGCGGTAGGTCTGAAAACTGCCATAAATTTGAATGTAATGATGAGTGTCGATGATGCTTCAAGATATCTGCCCCAACTGTACCATAATATGAAAATATCTATGATTTCTATTGGTGACAAAGTCACAGCTACTGTAAAGACTACTGATGTTTGTTGCTTATATTCATAATTAAAGGGGAAGCTAAAGTTCTGTTAGAATATAGTAAGAATAAAGATGTAATCTCTTTCCCATTCAAGTTCACAAAGTCTATGAGTCTGTCCACAGACCCTCAGAAACGTCAGCCCCAGGTTGAGAAAAGCTCTGACCAAATGACTAGAGAAGTGCTGTGTGTGGCATTAGATGCTGGAAAAGTAGACACACAGAGCAGTTAGTCAGGGTCCCCATTTTCCTTGGTGTCACAGTCCAGCCTTGATGACTGCATGTGATACACTTCGATGGGTTCTCCCACCTCTCCCCAAAGCGGAGAGAGGTTGAGAAAGGAGGCAGTACAGCAGAGCTGTGGATGTGTGCTAAGTGCTTGTAATAAGCCCATCCTCCAGTTTTCTCTATGATACATGGAAACAAAATCACAATGACCCGCCTGCAATTTTATACACTTGAAGGAAAAGTGCTGCTCATATTCTGTGGTTTTGCATATGAACCCTCTGAATGTTTCAGTACACACAGAACATTCTTTTGCTTCCCACATAGTAGCTATATTTTTAAGCCTTAGTATTACCCAGTTCACTTGCCCAGTACTTAGTTTCCTTTCTCCTTCATCCTTTCCAGTATATTTCTTATCATTTATTATGGTAGATCTACTTAGGGCTATGGTTTTGCCAACATATCTATGAAAGAAATAATTTCTCATTTATGTTTATTTATTTTTGAGAGAGAGACAGACAGAGTGTGAGCAGGGGAAGGGCAGAGAGAGAGGGAGACACGGAATCCAAAGCAGGCTCCAGGCTCTGAGCTGTCAGCACAAAGCCCGATGTGGGGCTTGAACTCATAGACCGTGAGATCATGTCCTCAGCTGAAGTCCGATGCCCAACCAACTGAGTCACCCAGGTGCCCCAATAATTTCTTTTAGACATTGCATGTTGTTTTATTTTACCTTATTTATTTTTAAAATTATTTATTAAGTAATCTCTACACCCAGTGTGGGTCTCGAACTCATGACCCCAGGGTCAAGAGTCACATGCTCTTACGACTGAGCCAGCCAGGCATCCCATACATATTGTTTTAAATATTCCGTTTTTTTTTTAAGATCACTTTAAAATGGTTTATATTAAATGCATCTTCCTTCTTGGTATTTCTGATTTTTTTTTCTTTTCCTTTTTTTTTTGTTCAGTGTGACAAATGGCGGGAAGACAACGCTGGCTAAGAATTTGCAGAAACACCTCCCAAACTGCAGTATCGTATCTCAGGATGATTTCTTTAAGGTATATAAAACTTCTCAGGTAATTCATTTAACACAACAAAATCCTAGTAGCCGGTTGATTAAATTACGTCCAGAAAGCCTTTGCTGAACGATACAGCTTTTGTAGTGAAGGCAGGTTCCATGCAGTAATGTCACTGATCCACTAGATGGCATTACTTATTGTTGCGGCTCTGATTTTATTTATCCTCCTCATGCAAAGCGTTTACTAAAAGTTTATCGCCTCTTCATTCTATAATTGTATTATTTCTGCACTGCACAGTTTTGATGGGTGCTTCGTTATTTTTTCAGCCAGAGTCTGAGATAGAGATAGACGCAAATGGATTTCTGCAGTATGACGGTAAGTAGATGGGTTTGTGAAACACGCACAAATGTTCATTTTCTGTTTCAAACCTCTGTCTGTGAAGACAGTCTCGAAACGTGCTCAAACACACTGCTATACTCTACATATGCTTTTGTAAAGGTTTCTGATTTATGTCCAACTATTTAAATAAATGAAACCCAGGGCGCCTGGGTGGCTCAGTCTGTGTAGTGTCTGACTTCGGCTCAGGTCATGGTCTCGTGGTTCGTGAGTTCAAGCCCCGCATCAGGCTCTGTGCTGACAACTCGGACCCTGGAGCCTGCTTCGGATTCTGTGTCTCCCTCTCTCTCTCTGCCCCTCCCCGACTCATGCTCTATCTCTGTCTCTCAAAAATAAACATTAAAAACAATTTTTTTAATAATAAATAAATAAATGAAACCCTTTTTCCCCAGTTTTATATTTAAAACTGAAAACATTGGAACAATAGATTTTTTTTTTCTAAAGCTAGAACAAGGTATGTTTGCTGGTACTATATTCATCCCTGCCGGGGGGGCACACATAGCTCTACTCTCACCCCCTCCCTGCAGTCTTGCTTGGAACAAAGTCCAGGCTCATCCTGTGGGCTTCCTTCCCAGTGACCAAGGTGCACCGGACAGCTGGTTTCTTCTTTCCACTGTTCATAAGGGTTAGTGAATATTTTTTAGATGGATTCACCTCGCTCCCTTGCCCAATCTAATACTGTTTTGAAGCCAAAGGATTATAAAGTCAGAAAATATTTATTTTCCTCTAGAGAATGTCATGCTAATAAACTATATTTAATGGTCTTATCAACTTTGATAACTAACAAGATGATCACTGAGTGTTTATGCAAACTGGCAGCAGAAACAGCTCTCTTAAAGACCCATAAACTGTGTTCTTTATTTTTAACTTTGACGACCTTAGAGGAAAAATGTTGTGTAATCAGTTCTTACAGACACATGATAGTTTTAAGAGAAGCAAAATCCTTGACTCGCTGCCTGTTCTTGTGTCTTGAACTGTAGCCAGGATATTTTTTTTCATTTCCTCCCCCCCCCCCCCCGAAGGTTTGTAAGGAAGATTATTAAAAAGTAAGAGTTAAGCAAGGAAAAACCATTTTCAACAACGGACAAAGAATTATTTCTAATGCAAATGAGTTCTTATAAACTGATAAGAAAAACACTAATATTCTAATTGAAAAATGTCCAAGGATATAAATAAGCTTTTTACAAAAGCAAAAGGTTATTCGATTAATAAATATACAATAAAAAGTCAACCTCAGAAGTAGCCAAAGAGTTGTAAATGATTTTTTCCCACTTATCTTGCAAGGAGATTTTTTTCTCAGTGTTTATTTTAAGAGAGAAGAGCCCGTGTCCACACACGTGCACATGAGCAGGACAGGGGCAGAGAGGGAGGGGGAGAGAGAATCCCAAGCAGGCTCCATGCTCTCAACATGGAGCCCATCGTGGGGCTCAATATCACAAACCCTGAGATCATGACCGGAGCCAAAACCAAGAGTCAGATCCTTAACTGACTGAGCCACCCAGGTGCCCCAAAGTGAACAGATTTGGAAAGAAATAATTATCTAATGATGGCACAGGCTTAATAAAACAAAAACTTTCATAAATGGAAATATCAACTGACATAAGCTTTCTGGAAGGGAGACTGAACGCATGTCCCAAAGTCCTTAATATATTCATGCCGTGTGTCAAGTGTCCCACTTCCAGGAGTCTATCTTAAGGAAAATCTGAAATTTTTAGGCAAGTACACAAATTTAAAGTAAATCAAGGTAATGTTGAAATCTTTATGATAACCACCAAAAGGTTAATTTAAAGACACAAAGCTATCAAGTTTATAAATAGATGGAATCATTAAAATGTAGTTGATACATACAAAATAAGTCAGAAGAGGTAAAAAACAGAGAACTTAAAAGAAGTCAAAAGATACGGAAAAGTAGAAAATGAGTGTAAGATGATAGATTTAAGCCAAATATATTGGTAGCTACATTAAATCAATTGAACTAAAATACAACAAAGATTGTCAAGCTGGATTGAAAGAAAAATAAAAAAAGCTCCTTACAAGAGATATATTTAAATATTAAGACAAAGAAAAGTAGACAAGGCTAGAAAAAGATAATGCCATGTGAATAATAATGCCTACTGAAAGAAATATGGTATAACTACTAATCTCAGACAAAGTAAACACAAAGAGTGTCACTAGAGATACTGTTACTAATATATTACTAAAAACAAAGAGATAAATAAGTTAATTCAACAGGAAGATAAACAATCCAAAATTTGTATGCACCTCATAACATAACTTCAAAATATGTTAAGCAAAAACTGACAAAACTAAATGGGGAAATACATAAATCTATAATTATTGTGGGATTTTTAAAAAATTTTTTTAAAGTTTATTTAATTTTGAGAGAGAGAGTGTGTGTGTGTATGTGAGTGGGGGAGGGGCAGAGAGAGAAAGGGAGACACAGAATCTGAAGCAGGCTCCAGGCTCCAGGTTCTGGGCTGTCAGCACAGAGCTGCGTGCAGGGCTTGAACCCACCAACCGTGAGATCATGACCTGAGCCAACGTCAGACACTTAACCAACTGAGCCACCCATGCACCCCAGTTGTGGGAGATTTTTAATACAACTTCTTCAGTAACTAGTGGGAAAAGCAGACAAAAATTATAAGGGTATAACAGATTTGAAGCACACAATTAACAAACTTAACTGAACTAGCATATATGGAACATGTAGCCAATCACAGCAAAATACACATTTTGATTTTCTTAAGAATACAGAGCACATTAATTAGAGAGCGTATGCAAGGGCATGGAGCAATTCCTAGTACATTTCAGTAACTTGAAGTAATATAGAGGTATCTTCTAATCACAGAGAACTGAATTAGAAATCAGTAACAAAAGAGTAAGCAGAAAACTCCCAAGCGTTTAGAAATTAATCAGTATCCTTTCTTTCTGGAAAAATTTAAACATATGCAAAAGTTGGCAGAAAAGTATAATGAACTCTCATGGATTCAACTTCTAAATGATGCACTCTTGACCAATTTATATTTCATCTGTACCCTTACCTTCTCCTTCTATATTTTTTGAAGTAAATTCCAGACGTCATCACATTTCATCTGAAGCAAAGCACTTCTGTGTATCCCGTGGGCCAAAGAATAAATCGCAGTGAAAATCAGAAGATCCTTTTAACTGAACAGTAATGAAAATATATTAAAACTAATGGTATTTCTGGTTGCAGCTAAGTTGGATTGCCCCCATTCCTTGCTCTTCCTCCCCCTTATAATTGAAAATCCTGGATGGAACATGACAAACAAAGGAAGACTCGAAGATGAAAAGAAGGGAGCCAAACGCCTAGGGCCTTCAGGACTTGAGGAAGGGCATGACTGTGATTCTGTGGGTTTTCTTTTTACCTGTCATATATCCAGGAAGGGGTACTGGAAGGGTGTGAAACATGGAATCATCAATAGGTGCAGACAAAAAAAGCCCCAAGAAACCTGTTCCCTCTAGTCAAAGGACCAGGAAAAGGATGGCCTACTCAAATCGAATATCATTTTGATAATATCCACCCTATTGTAGCTAAACACAGAGGGAAAAACCATCGTCCCCTCATGGTGTCAGCAGGGACTAGTGAGCAAGACTTCTGGACCCATCCGGCACCAGCAAGGCAAGGACCCCACCGGGGTCCTATCACTGGAGCCAGAGAGCTGGATTCCCACAGCCACCTACAGCAGAGACAGGATGACGCGGTGTGAGGTGGTGTTACTTGAGACTCCACTGTCCCCACCCAAGGAGCGTCAGCTACTGTCAGGAGGATGCAGTTGAGAGCTGAACGTCTGTCCTCACCAAGCAACAATGAAGCTACACCTGCATCTCCCCTCGTGGCTGCCCCCACTCCATGTTGGTGAGGTTTAGCAGGGGGATGACCACCCATCCCCACCTAAACCTGCATACTACACCTAAACAGGGTAACTATTAAAAAAAAAAAAAAGATCAAATAGGATCCAGAGCCTCACAACATAATACCCTAACCTTCCAGGACGAGACTGAAATTCATTCGTTACATCAAAAACCAGGCAACTCTCAACTTGAATGAGAAAAGAAATCAACAACCACTCCATGATTACCCAGATGCTGGAATTATCTAACAAGGATTTTAAAGCAGCATTCATAAAAAGGCTTCAGCTAGCAATTGTGAACATTCTTGAATCAAGTGAGAAATGTGAAAGCCTCAGTAAAGAAATAGAAGAGGTAAAAATCAAATAGGAATTTTTAAATTGACAACATACAGTAAACTGAAATTTTAAAACTCACCAAATGGGCTCAAGAACAGAATAAATATGACAGGGGAAAGAATCTGAATTTAAGGACAGAACAGTAGAAATTTATCTGAACAACAGAGAGAAAATGGACTGAAAAGAAATTAACAGAAATATGGGACAATAACAAAAGCTCTAACATTCATATCATTGGAGTCTCAGAAGGAAAGGAGAAAGTGTGGTGCTAAAGAAGTAGGTAAAACATCATAAATTTGGCATAAGACATAAACCTACAAATTCAAGAATCTGATCCCTAAGCAGATTAGACAAGACGGATCAAGAAGAAAAGAGAAGGCACAAATTACAAATATCAAAAACAACAAAGGTAGTATCACTACGGAGCCTACAGGCATTAAAAAGATAAGAGCATATTATGGACGTTCTGTGCAACTAAATTAGAAAACTTTAATGAAATTGACAATTTCCTGGGAAAATGCAAGTTACCAAGGCTAACAACAGAAGAGAAAATCCTAAGAGTCCTATGTCTATTAAATAAATTAATCGATAATTTTAAAACCTTCCACTAAAAAACCTAAGTCCAGATGGCTCAATTCAGTAGTTCCAGAGTAGGGCTCAGAAATTACAATTCTGGTAAATTCCCAGGTGATACCAATGCTGTTGGTCTACGTACTATACTTTGAGAATCAGTGTTGTAGAATACTTTTGCAGAATTATAATTGTAAGCTCAGAAGGTATGCTCAGTTTAGAGTTTGAAAACGACATATTCGTGTCCTTTATAAAATTTTTAATGATTTTTCTCTTAATTGCCTATGAGAATGCTTTGTATATTAAAGATGTTGTGAAATACATTGCAGGTATTTTCCCCAGCATATCATTTATTTTTCAAACTAATTTATAGATATTTTGTTATCAAAAATATTAAACTTTTATGTAGTCACGGGGGGAACAGGCATTATAAATAAAGCAAGATTAGCCATGAGTTTATGATTGTCAAAGCTGGTAATGGGGCCATGGGAATTCATCGTACTCTACTTTTGTATATATTTGAAATTTCACATATTAAAAATGTTTTGGGGTACCAGGGTGTCTCAGTCGGTTGAGCGTCTGACTTTGGCTCAGGTCATGATCTCCAGGTTCAATGGTTCGAGCCTCGCATCGGGCTCTGTACTGACAGCTCAGAGCCTGGAGTCTGCTTCAGATTCTGTGTCTCCCTCTCCCTCTGCCCCTCCCCTGCTTGCACTCGCTCTCTCTCTCTCTCAAAAATAAATATTAAAAAAATTTGTTTTAAATATTTCAAACATATCAATTTGTCAATAATAGAGTTTAAATTTATCTAAAATATTTATTAGCTATTTTGAAAGGTAAATGAAATAGTATTATTTTATGTATTTATAGAGCCCTAGACATACTCATCATACAAAGCCACATCATAAAACTTTTGTTGTATTCATTTCATGTATTTTTGTACATTTACTTGAAGTGCTTGAAGCGCTCAATATGGAAAAAATGATGTCCACCATTTCCTGCTGGATGGAAAGCCAAGGACAGTCCCTGGCATCAACAGACTCTGGAAGTGCCGAGGAAATTCCCATACTGATCGTCGAAGGCTTCCTTCTCTTTAATTATAAGTAAGCATCCTCAACCTTATACTGACCTTTAGTGAATGGTGGGGGGGGTGGGGGAAGGGAAACCTTGCAAACTAAATATGCTGTTATTTTAGGCCCCTCGACACACTATGGAACAGAAGCTACTTTCTGACCATTCCGTATGAAGAATGTAAGAGGAGGAGGAGGTGAGTTTTGATATCACCTTTGTGGATTGGAATTCCAAGGACAAAATATGCATGGGGATGAAAAGTACAGCATAGGGAATAGAGTTGGTCGTGTTTATAACAGCTTGTATGGTGACAGATGGCAGCTAACTCGTGGTGACCATGGAGTCACATATAGGCCCGTTGAATCCCTGTGTTGCACACCTGAAACTAGCGTGTGAACTGTACTTCAACAAAAAATAAAATTTTTTAAGCAAAAACATTTTTAAAATTTTTTAAAAGACAAAATTGTAGGAAAAACAAGGAAAGAACATTATTGAGCAGTGTATATGTCAACGAGGCCTCATCTCTTCTACATGAAGAGCAAAGCCTTGTTACATAAATGCTCATCCACCTGGACTAATGCAAATTATTTTTCTAACATACATTTATTTATTTGTTTATTTAGACAGAGAGGGCGTGAGCAGGGGAAGAGGAGACAGAGAGAGAGAGAGAATCCCAAGCAGGCTCCGAGCTGTCAGTGCAGAGTCCCATGTGGGTCTCAGTCCCACAACCATGGGATCATGACCTGAACTGAAATCAAGAGTCGGGCGTTTAACTGACTGAGCTACCCAGGCACCCTGCAAATTACTGTTCCAAGAAAAGGCCTTTCGACAAACCATTTGACTTCTCTGTCCTAAATCTTCAAGTGAGCCAGTCCCATGTTGATTATAATTTTAAATTTGTGAACCATTGTTCTGCTATAGCCACAAAGGACACCAGTTAGTTGAAAGCTTAATCTAACATATCAGTTCCTCTGTCATTATTTATGTTGATATTTGCTCTTGATTTTTTTATAAAGCACTGAAGCGTAGGCAAATAATTATGAATGGTAGCGAATTACAAAAATAATGTTTTTGGAACCCGGAAAGTAAATCCATTTTATTGTCTTTGTAAGTAGCACTGAATCTAAAATGTATGTATGCTCTTAATCCTGTTTAGATTAAGTCTCAGTGATTTTCCCATTATCCTGATCACTGTTAGTGTATCAATTGTGTGTTTCCATCAGTATAAAGTTTCCTGTGTGTTTTGATAGTACGAGAGTCTACGAGCCTCCAGACACCCCAGGGTACTTTGATGGCCACGTGTGGCCCATGTATCTAAAGCACAGACGAGAAATGGAGAAGATCACATGGGAGATTGGTAAGCGCCTTTTCTCCCTCTACAGAGGGCATTTACTTGTCTTTGCCTTTAAGTTCACAAGAGCAAGGACGTTAGGAGGTTTTTTACTCGTGGATTACATAATAAAGGATCCTTCTAAGCCACAACACTCTGGGCTCCTCTGCTTCCACAGTAGGCGCTACTGGTTTCTGTTTCTCGGTCTTCAACTCTCGTCAAAGCCTGTCAGCTTCTAGGTGGTCATTCATGAAACTCATATTGAGTGAATGTCTTCTGTGTGTAAGGCAGTGTCCTGCTGATGTCAAGGGAAGTAAGACAAAACCTGCCCCCACTTGTAAGAGCCAACATTCTGTCCAGGAAACAGCCGCTAAAGATCCTGGCTGCACGAGCATGTCCTCTCTAGCTATGCCAAGTGCTGTGCTACCAAGTTCCAGGGGGACGGCCCAAGGCCCAGCAATCAGGGAAGGCTTCCTTGAAGAAGCCTCTTAAACCACACTCTAAAGGGTTTAAATGGACAAAGGGAGATAGGTCGGTAGACAGAAGATCACTCCAGAGTACCCGAAAAGACCAGGGACACAAAGGAGCTAGTAGCACCTGAGAGAAGGTTGGTATATTTTTGGTAGAGAAAACTGAGAGAGAGGTGATACTGGAGACACAGGGAAGATCTAAACTCTACCAGGCCAGTTAAGGACTTGGGGCATTATCCTGGGAGAAGTGGGAAGCCCTGTACAGAGAGGTTTTAAACAAAGACATGGTAGGGGCACCTGGGTGACTCAGCGTCTTGTTCTTGACTTCAGCTCAGGTCACGATCTCACGGGTTGTGGGTTCAAGCCCCGCATGGGGCTCTGCGCTGACAGCACAGAGCCTGCTTCGGATTCTCTGTCTCCTCTCTCTGCCCCTCCCCTGCTCGTGCACTCGCTCTCTCTCTCAAAATGAGTAAACTGAAAAAACAATTTTAAACAAGGACATAGTTGATATCAAATTCTTGTTTTAGTGCGATTCCCCTGGCTATGTGAGGGTGGATGCAGAGGGTGTGATGTTGGACGCGTGTGCTCAGTAGAACAGGGTGACGAAATAGATACGGAGCGGCACTCTCCCTCTCCATCTCAAATGCCACTCTAACCATGCCCCCCACCCCCTTTGCTGAAATACCGTCAGAGTCTCCAGCTTTCTGGCATAAAATCCAAACATACTTCAGGGCCCCTAAAGACTAAGGCACAGACAGCCTTGCTCTAAAATCTCATCCCTACAGTGTTCCGACCTCCCAGCTTCTAGCCACTCCAAACTGTGCATCCTTTTCTTAACAGACATGTTTATCTCTTACCTCCAGTTTTCTTTTTTTTTTTTTTTAATTATTTTTGTTAATGTTTATCTATCTTTGAGAGAAAGAGACAGTGTGAGCAGGGGAGGGACAGAGAGAAAGGGAGGCACAGAATCTGAAGCAGGCTCCAGGCTCTGAGCTGTCAGCACCGAGCCCAAGCTCAAACTCGTGAACTGTGAGATCATGACCTGAGCCAAAGTCGGACGCCTAACCAACTGAGCCACCCAGGCGCCCCTGACCTCCAGTTTTCTGATTAAAGAGTTCTTTCCTTCCTTTAACTACATAGCTTCTACTTTTTCTTCAAAATTAACTATGCCAGTTTGGGTAAAAATATCTCCTGGGCCTGGAGAATTCTGAGTCAGTACATACGTGGCACAGCCCAGACCCCTGCATGATTCAAGAAGCTTCATAGGCAAGCCTGATGCATACGTAGGTTGGAGAACCACCCCCTTAAATGATTCTTTTGGGGAGACACCTCTGCAGTGCTCCTAAAGTGCCACATGCACAGTACCACGTAACTCTTGCTTTTTCAAAAAATAACTTTCACATCTGCTAGTATGCATTTCTGAAACCAAATTTTTTTTAACTTATTGTTCCTGACTGTAATCTATTTCTCTCTTTAATGACTATTCATTTCTTTTTACATTATGGCCCTGCATTCTTTGTTTAAACCTATTTGTATTCTTTTTTTTTTTAAGTTTATTTATTTATTTTGAGAGAGTGACAGTGTGAGTGGGGGAGGGGCAGAAAGAAAGAGAGAGAGACAGAGAGAGAGAGAGAGAGAGAGAGAAAGAGAATCCCAAGCAGGCCCCACACACTCAGTGCAGAGCCAGGTGCGGGCTCAAACTCATGAAACCATGAGCTCATGACCTGAGCTGAACCCAAGTATCAGACACTTAATGGACTGAGCCATCCAGGCACCCCAAACCTATTCGTATTCTTAAGAGATGTCAAGTGCCAGAGTAAGAATCCTGTACTAACCGATCCACCCTCCTTTCTCCTTCCCAGTTTACCTAGATGGAACAAAATCTGAAGAGGACCTCTTTAAAGAAGTGTATGAAGATCTAATACAAGAACTAGCAAAGCAAAAGGGTAAGTATTATGGATGGTGAAGGAACAGCCAGGAAAATAGTTCATTTTATACCCAAGAATGGCTTACCAGAATGCTAATGTAGGAGTGATTATATCCATTCATTCATTGCTTTGAAGATAATTCAGAATCAGAGACTCTGAATGGGTTTGGGGACTTGATTATTTTGTTTATAAGGTTTTTTTTATTTAAGGGTGAAAATATGTTTATGTTATGTCATTTAAATTGTTTAGTAGATGGATGTTATTTCAATGGGACTGAAATTATCCTTTGAGCAGAGTGAAGTTAAAATGCTGGTGATCTCATTTTAGTATGTCAAGAATTCCCCGTTTCCTTTATTCTTCTAGAAGATTTCCCATGAATTTATTTTCCCAAATGCTTCAAAAATAAACACAAGATGTTAAAAAATATTTATTGAATGTTTCCTTAAGGTGTTCATATAAGATGACACATTTTGCAAGTACCAGAAACTTTTCCTTTATCTAGTTTAAGCACAAAGAAAGTACAGGGGTAGTGGTGGCTTCAGGCTCAGCTGGATCAAGCTGGTTCAAATGTCATCTTCAAGACTCTGCCACAATTCCACGTTCTGTTTGGGTTTCTTTTGAAGTCAGACTCTCTCTACTGACAGATACGATGGCTGTGACAGCACCATACTCCTAGGCTGAACAGCCTCTTAGGCTCAACAGTAGAAAAAGACCATTAATCCTTTCCCAAGATTTCCCATGAGTTGATAAATGTTGAAGCTGGGTTTTGGGTTCCAAGGGGTTTATATGTGATTCTCACTGCTTTAGCATATGTTTAAAATTCTTTATTTTAAATGTTTTTTTTAAAAGCACTTTTAGGGGGAGGGGAAGAAAAAAAAAAAAAGAGGTTAGAGTGGGAGAGATCCAAAGCATAAGAGACTCGTAAAAACTGAGAACAAACTGAGGGCTGATGGGGCATGGGAGGGTGGGGAGGGTGGGTGATGGGTACTGAAGAGGGCACCTTTTGGAATGAGCACTGGGTGTCGTATGGAAACCAATTTGACAATAAATTTCATATATTAAAAAAAAAACCAATATGAAAGGACAAAAAAAAAAAAAAAAAAGAAAAGAAAAAAAAAAAGCACTTCTACATTTTAGCCGAGCTAAAAATTCTCAGGGAAGATTTTGATTGGTCCTGCTTGGGTCACATGCCTTGTGCTAACCCAATCACTTTGGCCAGGGAGATGGCATACTCTGATTGGCTAGGACTGGAACATGCGCACATCTTGTAATTGAATGCCTCTCTTAAGGCCTTCTGTTTAGGGGGAGAAATTCCCCAAAGGGAAAGCAGAGCAGGTGGTAGAAACCAGAAGGATGAAAAAGCATGAAGGGAGAACAAAACTCTAGACCTACCTGCTGTTATATTCGAACTGTTTGAACTAACAGGGTTTTCATGGTGAATATATGCAAAATGCTCATTCAAGAGAGATGGGTATGAGTCACTCCTGCAGTGGAGAATATTACATGCATTTAACTACCCTAGTCCAGATGTCATCATCTCTAATAAGAATTAGATTTCCTTTGTTCTCAGTAAATCCCTGTCTTACAAGGGGACTGAGCCCAGCCAGCTAGCCCACTGGTCCTCCACACTCCTGGTTTCAGGCTCAGCCCTTCACGGAGGCAGGAGCCCATTTGAAGAAATTTCAGTAGCATTTTAAGGTTTCTTCTAGTGGAACTTACAGTCCGTGGCAGATATACCGGACTACCTCTGCCATCTGTTACTTGGATGAAAGGCCGGGAAACTCAGCACTGGCATGAATGGCTATAAGGAGGTGTAGGGTGAAGGGGGCGTTCAGCCTTCATAAATCATAGCCCCTGAGCCAGGGCCTCTTTCTGAGGGTTATCAGCTCCCTTTCTGGCCCTAGTGAGATACTTCAGGGTGTTTTAGCTGCTGGACACCTATACCTTTCCATCCTCTTAATAATGGCCAGTGCTCAAGTCCATTTCTGTTTTTTTTTTTTTCTTTTTTTTCTTTTTGTAAACGTTTATTCATCTTTGAGAGAAAGAGCATGAGCAGGGGAGGGGCAGAGAGAGAGGGAGACAAAGAATCCGAAACAGGCTCCAGGCTCTGAGCTGTCAGCACAGAGCCCAATGCGGGGCTCGAATCCACGAACCGTGACATCATGACCTGAGCTGAAGTCAGACACCCAACCAGCTGAGCCACCCAGGCGCCCCTCACCTCCATTTCTTAGTGACTAAGTCGGACTCTGTGGCGTTGCCTTGTCGCCCATCTCCTGATAAAGATGAAAGGAGCCTTAAGCAAATAGCTCAGGCAAACCTCACCTAGTTCCACACCACACGCCAGCATGTGCCATCCGTCCCAGGGCCCAAGAACAACAGGTATGTTTTGATGGACACTGAAAGCCCACAAGAAAGTACATGTCCACGTATGTGGCACCCACCTTTTCCCTTGCTTACGTCCTAGAGGTTTGTAAGGAGTATTCACCTTCACCTTTTAAGGCTATCTCGTTTGTGTCGTGGATATTGGGTAAAGTTAAGTAGGAGAAAAAGTAAAGAATGTTAAAAAAGCTATAAAGTCCAAAGTAGATGAGCTTTTCCTACCTCTTAAGATCTGTGTTTTGTTTTGTTTTTTTTTTTCCAGTTGCCTTAGTAAGTTCTGGTAGTATTTATAGTAACCGCCCCCCCTTCCCAGTTCTTAAACCGCGGCGCCCTGGCAGAGCCTCCTGGAGGGATCCTCAGTGTGGCCTGGTTTAACCCACAGTCAGGGGCTGAGCTGGCAGGGAGGCCTTGCCCGTGTTTCTAAGCACTACTCTGCAGGCCTTGCGTAACATCTCCTAAACCTGCTGAACTCAATTTCCACTCTAAGCACATAAAATCATAATTGTGGTAAAGTAATAATAACGAGAGGGAAACAGAGATTGAATTTAATTATTAATGAAACAAATGACCCAGGAGAGTAAGAAACATAAAGTTCTAATTTAATCCTTATTTAAATTCAGTGTTTGAGGCAAAATGCAGTCGTTACCCATTCTCACGATGACAAGGCAGGCTAGCCATCGGAACATCCAGAGTCCTTTTGAGAATGTTTCTTTTCATGGCGATGGTTTTCTTTCTGGCACACTTGTTACGTTTTCAAAGGAGTCCGACTCTGCCACATGTACTGGGTAGGAGCTAGAAAAGGTTGGCGGAAGAGCGGCTCCCACATGCGGGAAGGAAAAAGGGGAAAAGTGTGTATTTACATCTCATTATAAAAGCATATTAATTATTTTTTAAAAGTTTTTATGTAAAAAAAAATGACTTAAATTCAGTCAGCAGTGTTACCATTTTAATGAGGACACAGTCAATATTTTTGCTGTTCCCATCAGTCTCTTTACATGGTTACATGGTTACTTGCCATGGTTTTTTGTTTTTACATTAGTATTTACTATTTAAGGAGCTTTATAGAGCTTATTATAAAATGAAACTGAGCAAAACTAAACAGCTCTCCTAGTGAAAGGAGTCAAGGCTGAGTTCTGTTTTGCTCATTAAAAGTGAGTTATAGGGACACGAGGGTGGCTCAGTCAGGTAAGGGCCCAACTCTTGGTTTCGGCTCAAATCATGATCTCACAGTTGGTGAGTTCACGCCCAGTGTCGGGCTCTGTGCTGACAGCGTAGAGCCTGCCTGGGATTCTCTCTCTCCCTCTCTCTCTCTCTGCCCCTCCCCTGCTCACTGATTCTCTCTTTCTCTCAAAATAAACTTAAAAAACTTTTTTTTTTAAAGTGAATTATAAGGGGGTACTTGGGTGGCTCAGTTACGTGTCTGACTCTTGATTTTGGCTCAGGTCATGACCTCAGGGTTGTGAGATCAAGCCCTGAGTCAGGCTCCGTGCTGGGCATAGAGTCTGCTTAAAATTCTCTCTCTCTCTCTCTCTCTCTCTCTCTCTCTCTCTCTCTTTCTCCCCCTTTCTCTCTCTCTCCCTCCCCTCCGCCCCCCCCTCTGCCCCTCCCCCTGCTCACATGCTCTTTCTCCCTCTCTAAAAAAAAAAAAAAAAAAGTGCATTATAAGACTTGCTTTGACATCTCAGTGGAGAAGAAAGATGTCCTATGTTACATTTCAAATCTAAGGAATAAGAAATTGCAAAATAAAAATTTGATAAAATGTGTGTATTTTCTTTTTGGTATTTTTATACATTGAATTTAAAATGTCCAATTAAAGGTAATAGTAGTATAATTATCTAATACAATAGTCTACATTATCATAGGATTAATGACCCATTTCACAATTGCTGGACATTTAGTGCCATCGTAAGTTTTTCACATTAGCAAATAATGTGCTATAAAAATATCTGCCTATATCACTTGTTTTCTTCTTCTTGAATTATATTAAAATTTTTCAGGGGCACGTGGGTGGCTCAGTCAGTCAGTTAAGCGTCCGACTTCAGCTCAGGTCATGTTCTCATGGTTCAGGAGTTCAAGTCTTGTGTCAGGCTCTGTGCTGGCAGCTCAGAGCCTGGAGCCTGCTTCGGATTCTGTGTCTCCCTCTCTCTCTGCCTCTCCCCTGTTCATGCTCTGTCTCTGTCTCTCTCTCAAAAATAAATATTAAAAAAAATTAAAATTTTTTGGAAGTAGCACTTGCTTGGTCAAAGACTATAATCATTCTTATATTTACATACTTCAGAGATGACTACACCAAAAAATGTGTGTTTTTCCAACACAAACTATGTAGCACAAATACAACAGGTTTATCATTGAGTTTCAAGCCAAAGTCCCAAAGTCAGGCTCACATACGCTTCCTTGGTTTATGAAAAAAGATTAAAGGTACCAATACACTTTTCCCAAATCAAGGATAACATTCCAAAACAGTAATTCTAGTACAGCCAGCCACCCTTTGTGATATTCTTCTAATTTTCAAACTATTTCATTCTTTTAAGCCAATGATTATTATACCAATTGCAAATGATATTGGGTATCTGATATCTTCAGATAGGCTTAAATTTAATCAAGGATTAAAAGAATGAGACTTGGCCTCTATTTAGTTCTTTGTGGAAAACCAGCATTTCTGGTCCCAGAATCCCTGTGACGTTAACATTAAGATTTACTGTTGATAGTGTAAACATTTCGGGGCGCCTGGGTGGCGCAGTCGGTTAAGCGTCCGACTTCAGCCAGGTCACGATCTCGCGGTCCGTGAGTTCGAGCCCCGCGTCAGGCTCTGGGCTGATGGCTCGGAGCCTGGAGCCTGTTTCCGATGCTGTGTCTCCCTCTCTCTCTGCTCCTCCCCCGTTCATGCTCTGTTTCTCTCTGTCCCAAAAATAAATAAAAAACGTTGAAAAAAAATTTTTTTTAAAAAGATTTAATAAAATGGAAATTGGAATTCTCTACTCATTTCTCTTCTGCTTGTATTTGTTCCCAAGGTTTGCACGTGACAACGTAGAGATGGAGTGCACTGAACCCTTCGGGGGATGAATTAGGAAACTCGAAGGCCTCTATTTAAGAACCTGCACGAAGATACAATATGTACTTTGGTATGATGACAGCTGTAGTTCGTTTGTGTTACCACATATGATTTCTGCCACGTGAGGAACAGTAAATAGGGATCCGTGCCACTGGACGGGAATGTACCTTGTTGAGTTGTTCTCGCTCCAAGGAGTGCAGAGATACAGCATTAGCTCACTAACGAGTCAGTTCCTCTAGACCAATGATCATCAAACTTTTCCAAATAGGACCAAGTACGAAATAAGGTTTACATCACAATCCAGTAGAGATGTAATCCATTATGTTTGTGTGTGTGTGTGTGTGTGTGTGTGTGTGTAGGTATATATGTGTGCAATGTGTGTATAGAGATACACACACATACAAGGATGACAAAGGATTTACCTAAAGCATGCTGATATTTTTCTATTTTTAATTTTTTTATAATCTTCATTACCATCCAGTATCGATTCTATTTCCTGCAAATGAAGGCTTTACCAGGAGTAGCAGTCACATTGAGCGAATCAACAATTTGCTGCAATGTCTTTTTTGTGTGGGTTCTGTCACTGTGGCTGCTTTTCCTGTTCTTGCATATGTGTAAAACCACTGGGTCGTTGTGTCTCTTGTGTTGCTACTTTGTTACAAATGGTATATTTTCTGTTTTATTTTGGGTTTTGTCAAACCAGTGGTTTCAAGTCCCAGAAATCAGTTACAGTTACTTAGATGATAAGTAGTACCTTTGATTGAAAGGAAGAGACAGGAGATCTGAATTCTATAATGTTTTGAGGTCTCTTTAAATACTGGAATTTAAATCATGTATTATACTGATCAACCTCTTGTTTTTTTAACAAACAGATTGCTCACAATCCTTTCAGTCTTTACAAATAGAAATGTATTGTGACATTAACTTTAACTGTAACTCATTTGATCAGCTCTCATTATTTCTATATTTCTAACTAGCTTGTCCTCAGTGGCAATTAGGGAAGGGGTTTTTTTTGGTCACACGTACTACACAAAACAACAAAAAAACAAACCCTGAGCTCAAATGGCAGTTCTTCCACCTAATAGCTATATGACTTGGATCACACTATTCAAAGTCTTCATTTCCTCTTTGTAAAAGGGGAATATCAACAGTACTTAGCATGGGTGTAGCGTAGAATAAGGATCATGTTCAAAATCCTTCACACGGCCCCCAGGGCATTCCCTGAACTAGCTTCAGTGTGCCTGCCTCTCTATTCTCATTGCCCATCATCCAGTCCATTGCTGTTCGGTGCTGAGACCTCCTGCCCTCAAACTTACCAGGGCCCTTTCTGCCTCATGGCGGGCACCCAGGCTGTTCCCGACACTTGGAGCAAGTGCCACAACCTTTCCCTCCAACCAACCTGTCCCTCCACAGAGGCAGACATCCTGCTTCATCCTTGCCTCCACAGATGCTCTCAAAGCTGCCCTACCTGGCCGTCGCAGCACTCATCCCAATTATAACTGTCCTGCCCCCTACACAGTCGCTCATTTAGTGGCTATCTCCCCAGCTACATGGAAGCTCCATGAAGGCAGGTCTGACCTCTGTGACTTAGTTACAGACACGCCCCTGCTCCCCAGCACAGTGTCTGGCTCATGGTGAACACACAAAAAATACCGGGTACTTTTTATAACTTCCTGTTACATCAGGAATGGATTCACATGCCACCAATATCTTATTCGAGGAGTAGTAACTTACACTCATTGGGATTTATTTTATTTATTTTTTTATTTATTTTTTTACAAAAGAAGGAAGTTTAAGGCAAGCAGTCTAGGGTTTGCACATCGAGTTGTGAGATTTAGGGGGAAAAAGCAACAAAATTAGAGGACGCACAGGTAAATTTGAATTTCAGGTAAACTGTAGCTCTTTATCAATAACTTTAGTGTAAATAAATCCCAAACACTATATATGTAAGACTGTTGTTTTTCTGAAATTCATATCTAATGGGTGTCATATTTTATATGGCACCTCGCTTTTGCAGCGACTCAAAAGTGTCAGGAGAAAAAAAGCCAGGGTTTTCCACCCTGGACTTGTGGACCTATCACCAGGAGGTCACAGGGAAGCATTGGAAACTCCCAACATAGTGTCAGCAACCAAGAAGGAAGATGGTGTCGGGAGGCACACACAGGTAGCTGCGTGCCTTCCAGAGTTACCTACCCAACAGTGTCCCCTGCAGACTTCGTATGTCCCTGGAGCCGGAACTGGCTCACGTGGCCACTTCTCACTGCAAAGGGAGGCTAGATAGAGGGTGTCATGTCACATTTGAACCAATTATGATTCATTGTCTGGGAATGCTGCCACGGGAACAAAATCAAGCCTCTTTCAGCAAGGAAGGAGGAGGGAACAGGTGAGAAATAGAAAGTGCCTGCCACAATCTTTTTTTTCTTTTTCTTTTTCTTTTTAATGTTTCTTATTTTTGAGAAAGCATGAGCAGGGGAGGAGCAGAGAGGGAGAGAGAGGGGATCCAAAGCAGGCTCTGTGCTGACAGTAGCCAGCCCGACGCGGGGCTCGAACTCACAAACTGCAAGATCGTAAGCTGAGCCAGAGTCAGACGCCCAACCCACCGATGGCTGTAATTCCAAATTCCTGTTATCAAAACAATAGGAATTTTTTTCTAGAATAAAAATGTAGACACAATTTTTCAAACATCATTTCCGAGAATTTGTGAAATACCCTCTTCACCCCTTCCCCCAGCACAGAGGGATGTCCCTGCTGATTGAAAATTATTACACACTGAAAATCAATGGGGACTTTTCTCCCCATTTCAGCTTGGGGAAGTAGGTCAGAGAGAGGCTTTATCTTAAAGGGGAAAAGAAAAACCTTAACAGACATTAAAGATGGAAATATTCAGGGTGCCTGGGTGGCTCAGTCGGTTAAGCGTCCGACTTTGGTTCAAATCGTGATCTCACGGTTTGTGAGTTCAAGCCTCGTGAGTTCAAGGCTCTCCGCTTTCAGCATGGAGCCTGCTTCAGATCCTCTGTCCCCTCTCTCTCTACCCGTCCCCTGCTTGCTCTTGCTCTCTCTCAAAAATAAATAAACGTTAAAAAAAATTAAAAATGGAAGTATTCAAAGCACTTTGAGAGGAGATAAATGTCTTTTTGCTTACTACTCTCAGGAATAAATCAGGAATTGGAAATGAAGGCTACGAGTGCCTCCTTTCTGGCTACGGTTCCTCTTACCCGTGCAGTGAATGGGACTTTGTATCTATTGCAGAAGGCACTCGCTCTTCTATACTGAAAGGAGCGAACCTGCTGAAGTCTTCACTCTTCTGTGCATGAGTAACCTCAGTCCTTTAGGTGAACTTAGAGGAAGGTTTCATCGTTCTTGATCTCAGGAGGAAATTAAAAAGGGACCTCATATGCAGACAGTCGCAGTAGAGGGCGAGATTCAAACCCAAGTTACCTTTTAAGGATATGCTTGTGGTAGTACATCGAATCCTAAAATGCTGGAGCAGCAGCAGCTGGCCCAACATTCCGTATTTCGGTATGGAAATTAAAACCAGAGCTGGTGACCTGCCCAACCCCATGCAGCTAGCTGGCAGCAGGACCGGGGCCAGGCCACAATCCGCATGCCGCTCAAATATGCACGCACACACACATTTTTAATGTTAACACAAAGAAGGACAGAAAAATCATCTGCCGGACTACATCATCTGCCGTCTCTGCTTTGAAGAGAGCAAGACGAGGAGGCCGGGAAGACGAGGGCCGAGTCAGGGAAACATGAAGCTTTCTCTTCTGGGTTGGTGGAGGCCAGGCAAGGAGGCAAGCCAGCTCACGAGCGGGGGGCAGCCAGCGCGTGCTCCGTGCCACCGTCCGGCTGTGCTGACCTTAGGCTGTGGCTCTAGCTGTTCTTCCAACACTCCATCCAAGGTGGAGAGTGAGGGAAAAGCAAGGCTGTGGAAGAAGCAGAACAGGCATCACACCCCTTTTTTGCAGATCCAGAAATAGATGGAAATCGCAAAAGCAGGTTCAGGGCCCTAATCAAGGGAGCATGGCCTGCAGATAAGAGAACATCAAAGACAGACTTTCTCACCAAAGTGAGAGTATCTGATATGTTCGCCTCCATCAGTGTCATCATTCGTGCCGTCAGTGCAGAAGTGGAGACACAATAACATGCCCCCTGCTGGCTCCCAGATCCCCAAAAAGATACATCATCTTCAAAATTAAAAATTGAGACTAGGGTTGGGGCGCCTGGGTGGCTCAGTCGGTTGAGCGTCCGACTTCAGCTCAGGTCATGATCGCACAGCTTGTGAGTTCAAGCCCCGAGTTGGGCTCTGTGCTGATAGCATGGGGCTAGTTTGGGATTGTCTCTCTCCCTCTCTCTCTCTCTCTTCCCCTCCCCCATGCTTGTTCTCGCTCCTCTCAAAATAAACATTTTTTTTTAACTGAGACTAAAACTCAGATAAAGAAATCCCTATTGACTCTTCTTCCCAAGCCTGCACAACGAGCTCCCACAACTTACTGTGGCAGCAGTGGTTTTCCAGCCTTAGCACATACCAGAATCACTTGGAGGGCTTGTGAAAACACAGATTGCTGGTCCCCAAACCCAAAGGATGGATTTCTAACAAGTTTTGTCAGTGTGGCACCATAGCTGCCTTCCTGCCTTTCATGAGCCATGGCAGTGCCTTCTCCAACAAGGTTTGGCTCTCATTAGTGGCCACATAAATATGAAGTTTTGAGAGGTAAAATAACTACCAAAATTACACAGCTAACACTTGTTGGAACCAGGTTTGGAACCCAAGTGGTAAGCTCTTAACCACCATACTATACTGTACTGTAAGGCTAGTCCTGGAACTTTGTGACCTGGCTTACTATTGTCATTACACTTAGTTTGCAATCACACTGCCACTGCTCTTGGCTACCCACTATGAAAGGGCTTCATAGTTTAAAATCCAAGAGCCAATCAGAGCAGCCTTCTAACTCTGAAACGTTTTATGCTTATTATATCCCAGAAGTCAACACAAGAGTCGGCTGGCAGGAGAATGCCTGGGATCTTCTCCTTTTGCACCACCCAGTGCAAAACACCATGTTCAACACACTCCTTGAACTTCTCTCCATAAGTGGGTTGCTGCTATCTCTCTCTCTGGGAAAAAGACACATCCAGAAGGCACCCTGGTGGGACCTGCTCATCCTAGTGTTCACTTTTTGTCCCTCTTCCTGTTCTACAAATGCAGGATGTGGTAGAAGAAGGCACAAGGGCATCAGGGATTGATGACAACAGCACTTGAAGCTATTTAGTTTAGGTCTATGCTGATCTTCATGACTTCTCTGTCTGGTCCAATAATAGTAATCACAGTAGGCAGTATTGTAGATGTTTATTGGGCTCCCTGATTAAGCAGGTATTTGCCTGACTCTTAAAGTTCTTAGGCGTAACCCAGCTTTAGGAAAACTACATGCAATAATAAACATAGCTATCACCTGTGGGGTGCTGGCCATTTAACCAGGCATTATTCTAAGCGCCCTACCTATTTTTCTCATTTAATACCCATTAGACCCCTATTAGAAGATGGTATTTTTCATATGAAGAAATTGAGGCACAAAGAGATTGAGTAACTGCGCATTGCCACACAGGTAGTGTGCCAGAGCCAGATTCAGATTTGATTTCCAAGTTCATGCTCTTAACCGCTACACTCTACCACATCAGGAATGACTGACTTTCTGATTGATAGGGTGGAATGAGGGGGTGAAGGAGTAAGACTTCACTGAAGATATGACTGGCTGAGTGTTCTGGATGCCAGGATGTGTGGGGCATGTAAAATAGGAGCCTCTCCAGTCCTCTCTTTTGATGTGATTCTTAAGGAAGCAGAGGTGTTACAGGGTTCAGAAAAGGAGCTCTTTCCTGGGGTCACCCTGACAATACTGGATTGAGGACACATTTGCCTAGCTAATCTCCAGAAATAGCAAAGTTATTTGATGGAAGAGTTGACATCTATATTGGAAAATCACAGGTATTATTATTATTATTGCTTCTAGTAAACCGCAAACAACACGGAGAAGTAATATGTACCTGCAGTTGGAAACCTTGACTCAGTTCGCATTGGGGCATATTTGTAAACTGTAAGAGCATTTAGAAAGTTTGAGGTCACTAGCAATAGAGATGATGTTTACAGCCTGAAAATGAAAATCATTTATATCTCCCAAACACATGTAGGAACACAAAATGCTTCCCACCTTTCATGCCAACTATCCTTACACATTCGTGAAACTTAGACCAACCTTAAGAAGTATTACCCCACTTGACAACAAAGGAAAAGGAGATGCCGAGTTGTTACTTGAGGCCACTGACGTAGTCTGCACTGGGGCCAGGTTTTTAATAAAAATCAAACAAAGGGAGATATTCACAGAGAATTGGATTTATTCCAGTATAAATTGTGAACTTGGTTTCTTTTCCAACCCAACATATTTTCTTCTGTCCTTTTTTTTTTTTTTGCTTTCCAGTAGGCCTATAATGAAGTGCTCACCAAAGCAAAACAAAACAAAAAGCTGTTGTCATTCTCAGGGTACAGTGAGTGTGGGCCCGCAGTTACGGGGCTGTCTTTTGGGGGAGTCCCATGTGGCCAACAATGAAGATTAATTCAAGGATGTGGCACATGGAGAAAGTGGCAGCGGTGGTCAGTCACGCTGAAGAGTGAAGAAGCCCGAAAAGCCCGGAAAGCACGTGGGACGATGGGTAGTAATACCCAGGTTCTCCTTCCAGCTCTGATGCTCGAGCCTGGCCGTGCCCTTTAACTTCTCTGAACCCAAGGAGGCGAGCCTCCTCACCATTGAAGTTGTTCAGCCCCACCTCGTGGTATCTGGCTAAATGGGTTAATGAATATGAAGCATCCAGTCAAATGCCTGGCAGCTGGTGGGTGTTCACTGTTATTAGCTCCGTCTTCTTGAGAAGACGTCTTCTCCGTCTTCTTC